TCTCTCTCTCTCTCTCTCTCTCTCTCTCTCTGTTTCTCTCATTCTTTTCTGTTCGTATCTTATTATTTACGAGGCCTATTATTTATTGTCTCTTTGCTGTTTCTCTCTTTCCACCTTTCGTTTTCAGAGACCCATAATATTCTAACACATTCTTACGTATTCTGACAGTGTCGATAACTTCCAGCTAATTCGGTTTCTGAATAGTTGCGCTTTTGTGTTGCTGATCAGTCGTATACGGAACTTTTTAGAACATGGGTCTTGCCTTACCTGTTGCAGCAGAGATCAATAACCAATAATAAGACTATGCTATGTCGTGGCAGTCCGAATGCTCTAACGATTATCATAGGGATTTCATTGTCTGGGCAAGTAACCTGGAATCTTGCGGTCTCTTTCTGCGCTGTTTCTTGTTTATAACTTACGCTCTCAATGAGCATTTCTTATGTTTTTAAGAAATAAATTCATCTTTTGATTTGGCTGGTTTTGAGCAAAGTAGTAAAACTGGCACACGATGAATACGATTTAACCCTGCTTATTTCGAGGTCTCTAAACCTGTTTATTTTTGTTGGTCATTTGCTTGTTCAGTGAAGATGTCTTCAATCAATGTGATGGTCCCAGTTCAAACTTTCAATATTCAACTCTTTCCCTACCAAACACCGATATGCATGTGCCTTTCTCTGCGCCGTTTGATTATGTGCTGACAACTCATGGCACATAAAGAGCTACCAGGATTTTTGCTATTTACAAGTTCTATTTTTTACAGGTAAGCATGCTGATAGGAGGAAATGCATAATGATTTATTTATTTTTGCCTATGACGTAGATGAATGGGCGGGTAAGGGTACTTTTCCCCACCAGTCTGCTCTAGTTTGTTCTTTTTTTTACGTTCCTCCTTCCTGTATTTGTTGAAGAGTGTGCTCCTGTGGGTAGCCCGTATGTTTCTGCAATGGCTTGATGTTTTGTCATCGCATCTGTATGTTTTATTTGCTGCGCAGATACTTGTGATGAGTTTTGATATTTCGTTATCCTCCATCTGTTTTAGTTTTAGTAAGTGTGTTACAGTACTTGCAACACAATAGGTCATATAAGTGCCGAAGATTAGAGGTGTTACAAGAGAGTAACAAACACAAAATAGAAGGAGGGAATATAAAGATGGTAGATGTTGGATAGGAATGAAGGAGCAAACCACACCAGAGCACCCGCCAGCCACCCGCCTCTATTTGCTCCCTTTTGGTTTGTTTGTGCTCTGGTGTGGTCTATTTCTTCTTCATCTCTTCACTGTTTTTGTTATCCTAATACTTGGCTGATGAAATACAAGTTTGACCTTTTTCGTGGTAACTTTTCGTGAACTACCCGAAAACTGCCACTGATTGTCGAATAGACAGACAGACATATAGGCAAATAGGCTGGACGGACGGGTGGATGGATGGATGGATAAGGATGGATGGATGGATGGATGGATAAGTATATAGATAGTAAGAGAAAGGGAAAGGGAAAGAATGAGAGGAGGGGATGGAGAGAGAGGGAGAGGAGAGAGAGAGAGAGAGAGAGAGAGAGAGAGAGAGAGAGAGAGGGTG